GCGGGGTGCGGCGGGCCGGGCCGGGCCGAGCCGACCGACCGACGCCGTGCTGTCCCCGCAGTGGGCCACGCCGTGCTGGCGATCAACGGCGCCGAGGTCAACGGGCGCTTCACGGCGGATGGGAAGGACGTGCTCGAGTTCCTGGGCAACCCCGCCAACTACCCGGTGTCCATCCGCTTCGGCCGCCACCGCCTCTCCTCCAACGAGAAGCTGATGCTGGCCTCCATGTTCCACTCGTGAGCCGGGGCGGGACGCGGCGGGGGGCGGGGGCGGGGGGGGTGGGGGGCGCTGAGGGCCCTCTCCCCGCAGGCTGTTTGCCATCGGGTCGCAGTTGTCCCCCGAAGTCGGGAGCTCTGGGATCGAGATGTTGGAGACCGACACCTTCAAGCTGCACTGCTTCCAGACACTGACAGGTACCATCCGGCCCTGGGCACCCAGCACCGCTCTGCTTCGCTGGGGCTGTCCCAGAGCTCGGCCTTACTCACGCTCCTGTCACCATGGCTCCAGGGATCAAATTCGTGGTTCTTGCTGACCCGAGGCAGGCGGGGATCGACTCCCTTCTCCGCAAGATCTACGAGATTTACTCTGACTTCGCTCTGAAGAATCCTTTCTACTCCTTGGAGATGCCCATCAGGTAGGAAAAGTCTCCTTTTAATAACATGGCCGCAGCCCCTCCCCACTTTCTGCCCATGCAGTAACAAACGCTGACTGCCCTTAAGGTAAGTGGCAAAGCAGAGCCAGAGGTTGAGAGAAGACACAGCACGCTGCTGCAGGGACAGGATGCTGACCTGTGTTTTTTCCAGCACTGTTCTGCTGGGGAAGTGGGAAGTGCTATTCCTTGGTACGATTGCCGCTGTCCTAACGTAACCCTGTGTGCTGGTTTTGGCTGGGATAGAGTTAATCACGACACCCTGGAGCCCACACAAGAAGCTTTAATCTTAATTAACAGCCAGGCCAAAGTTTGACAGTGGTCAGCCTGCCGTCTCCTGACTTACAGAATCTCTCCTTGGAGGATGCAGAGCCAAAGGATGTGGAGATCCCACCTTCCTTCGCTGGTTCCGCAGGTAAAGTCATCCCCCTCTGCTTTTCTGACTATTTCAGATGCGAGTTGTTTGATCAGAACTTGAAACTTGCTCTGGAGGTGGCAGAGAAAGCCGGACCCTTCGGACCTGGATCATAGAGGAAGCCTTGCCGGTTGTACGGACTCCTTTCTCCGAAGAGCAGGACCTCTCTCTTCCCTGGCTGGTCTCTCCCAGAGTTCTCTTCCCCCACAGCAGAGACTGTGTATCCCCAAAACATGCTTCATTATCTCCCAAGATACTATTTTATCCCCTTTGTTGTAAAATTTACCCTAAACAGACTCGTTACTACTGTTTACACTGGGCCACAGAGGTTTATTCTGCTGTTGTGGCTCCACTGCCCTCGAGTGAAGAAAGATATGGTGCGGGTCTGTGGCCTGGCTGCAGTCAATTGTTTTCTTTCGTTTCATAATTGTACATATGTATTTTTCCTGTATAGCTCTAACTTATGGTTTTGCAGAGGATTTCTGTGTAGAAGTAATAAACGTTCCTTCAAGAGGTGGATGGCCCTTTGTTTGCTGTTGGCAGGGTCAATTTGTGGCAGTGGCGCCTCAAGAGGATAAGCGGGTTTGGGTGGCTCTGCTTGTGCTGTTCTCTGTAAGACAACCAGAGCCCTTTGGACACTGCTCCATTTTTATTTCACAGATAGAAGAAGATCATATCATTACGTACAAAATGTAATTCACTTCCATTGTTTCAATTAAGGTTGGCTACCTACTCTTGCAACCAAGCTGTTCAGCAAAGTACCTGCGTGCAGGTTCTTCATGAGTTGAACTTGCCTCTTCCAGGACCCTAAAACAGTAAATTCTTCCAGGCAAAACCAAGAATATTCAACAAAATCCCCGTTAAAAACCTGAGTCTACTTATTGCAGAGTGCTGGACCTGACTGCTCAAGGCTGTAAGCGGCGGCTCTGCTAAGGCCGACTCGCAGAGGTAGCCCGATCCCCTACCCACAGCCGTGTGAGATGCAGCTCTTGACCAAAAACATCCTAGACTGTACCAAAAAAATACACACCAATGCTAGAAACAGGTGTTTTCGTGAAACCCAGCTGCAGATGCTGTGGGCCAGTGGTAGCTGTTGTTGCAATACCTGCTGCTGCGTCAGTTTTCCTGGCTGATTTGCAGAGCGCTCACTACAAGCTACCTTGGCAGCAGCTGCCACCCTTGCAAATCATTAACGCTGTACGCAGAAATTGTGCTGGGCGGGATCAGTTCAACAGAAGGAGCTTCTCTAAATGCTCTCCCCCAAAGCACGAAGAATTTCTTGGAAACGTGCCTGTTTCTAAGTGCTATGGAGAGCCCTGCCACAGCACTGCATCAGCGTTCCATTTGTCCAGAGCAAAACACCTCCCTTGCTTCTCACAGCTCATCCCAGGTAAAGCTAAAGCCACGCTGCTCTCAAATCAGCCGTGAGGCTGAACTGGAATAATCATCTTTCACTGCCCTGTCACCGTTCCAGGGCAGTGAGCACGCAGGGAGTTCACGCCTAAGTAAACCGAGACGGCTGCGCTTACAGCAGCTGGATGGGATGAACGAACGCAGCGAAGGCTTGCTTCAGCAGCCCCGGACAATGAGGCTGAATTGACGGTTAATGGCTGAGACAAACAGTAAGGACAAAACTAAATGTGACAGCACCTGAAGCCAGTTGTTTTAGAGCATGTTTAGTGGAGAAGCTCGGGCTGCAAAGCCTGCCTGCCTCACCAACAGTGCTGTGAGAAGGAGGTACAGTAAAATCATTGCAAATGTAAACTAGCTGAATTATCACATCTCGAGGGAAAAAGTGATCGGTAGCAGGAACCTTGTGCCCTCAGGCACGTGACAGTGGATGAGAAATTGAGACATTTTTATCTAGGTTGCAGCAATAGGTAAACTCACTCCTAGGCCAGTTTAACAAAAAATGAGCATCATTCATGTCGGCGTGGGAGCATCCTTTTCACCCAGCAGCTCATCCTCAGTCAGCCTTCCTGGGAATCCGGCCCATCTTGGTGCGGATGTTCCGCAGGAAGAAGAAAGCCACCGTGCTACCAGTACAGGTGATTTCGGCTACCCAGAAGGCTGTGGCCCAGCTGTAGTGCTTGGCAATGGTACTGAAGGGTAGTCCAGCCAGAAAACCCCCAACTGTAAGCAAAAACAAACAGAAAACTAGCAACGCTTGTGCATCTCCATTTTATCTGCCATTACTTGCTTTTGCACATATAAAAATTCCTCAGGCCTGGTTTGAACTTAAAGCACAAGGCAAAAACCTGTCAGGTGCAGCAGGAAGCATCTCTGAGGCTTCCAGGTCTGTTATCTCTGCTTCTCGGGTGGCTTCCTGTGATCAGTAACTTGGCAGTAACAGGGGCTAGAGCACGCTTCAGCAAGAACACACATGGGTTTTGTTTGTTTTTTGGGGAAATGGGTGTTACTCACCGTTGGCCATGAGGGCCACTATGGCGTGGGAGGTGCCACACAGGTTGGCAGGGGCGCTTTCGTTGGCTATAACCCCAAACAGGGCGATTGGCCCATACGAGGAGAATCCAAACACAGCTCCCAGAGTCAGGATCCACAGCTGTCAAAATGAGTTAAGATCAGAAACAGGATCTGTGCATCTTACCACTGTCAATCAGCAGCTGCTAACAAATCTCAGATCCCATGCACAGTATGAGGGGGTTTTGACATTTTCAGGCTGACACCAGCTCCCTGGCTGCAGACAGAAGAGCTTGAGCCTGCAACAGACCCCACGTATGCACAGCCCAGGTGCATCTCCACCACACCATCTTGTTGGCCAGCACGAGCTCTCCTCTCTCCCACAGTTTTGCCCCCTACACCATGTACCCACGACATGCGCCGTTTTGTGAGAAAGAACCAGACCATCAGAGAGAGATGGGCGATGAACCCCTGTGAAATCACAGGAGAGTGCTGTAAACCGAGTCACTTTTAAAAACGATCCTGGAGACACCAACTAAAAGCTTTTCTCCTTTTAGATGCAAGCGATCGATCAGAGCATCTTTATTTGCAAGAAGCCACTATCTGATAACCTCTATGTGACTAACAAACACAGAAACAAAATAAAAAAACCCAACAGTTTGAACTTCAGTATTAGCTTACACTCTAAGAAAAACTACCTGGCTCAGTGTTTATCAGTCAGTTGTGAAAGGACAATGAAGCATAAGTAACTGGACCACCTCAAGATTACAGCATGCTTTTTGAACAATAAACACCATTTCAAGCTGCCCAGAAGGAAGTAAGTGCCATCTTATTTTCCAGATGGGAAACAGAAACAAAGAGTTAGGAAAACACTTCCCAAAAATTAAGCAGGAAGGCATCTGCAGGAGCAGAATCATTCCTCCTGACCTCACTCACAAGACCCCTTAAGTGGCTACATTTTACCTGATGCACAAACATCCTCAGAACCTTTTATAGGAGAACTTAAAAGTTTTATATTCAGACTTTTTAAAGTCAGTAAGTGTAATCAAATGATTACAAGAAAATAGTTTCTTTTACAAAACTTACAGTAATCTCTTCTCAATGCCCTGGTTCTAAGCTCTGTAGTGCTAACCAACCTCCCAGGACAGGAAAAAGGCAGATCAGCGAAAGGAGAAATGGGCAGAGGGAGAAAAAATGCAAGGCAGAAACCTCGTGCTCTTTTAGGCCTGTAAGATCAGCTAGAGGTTGCAAGGCTACAGTCCAGAAGTGATTCTCCTGAAGAAGAAAAAAAGGAAAGGAGAAAAGAGGTTTCATTTATTTAGCAATCATGAGGGCAGATGCAAGTCATGTCTACACTATAGCTGGTAACGCAGGCAGCAGAAGCAGTCCAAACCAGACTAAGTTAGCCTACTTCTCTGTAGCACAGACAAAGAAAATGCAAACTTACAGTTCTTGGAAAGGCTGAAGAGAACAGTCACACTCCCTATCATCAAACTCCTCACCATTAAAGGGCCATCCCTACAACCGATGGCCAGCTCCTCGCGCATGGATTACCTTGGGAGAATCGCCTGTGACTGTGACCCGGAAGAGAAACATGGACACACACATCCCGGCCATCATGGAAAGCAGCAGCGCGTGCCGAGGATTTCCGTAGCTTGACAGACCCACCTGTAACACAGGAATAGAAACTGAGGGTCAGAAGCTGGAAGGACTCCTTCCCTTTTATACTCGTAGTGACTAGTGCTGTCCACACAGCCCCGTCAGAAACAGGGATGGCGCATCAATAGCACACCTTTTAGCAAGATGTCTTGGTCTGGCGTAAGGACTGCCTGCAGTCAAACTGTGCTAAACAAGCAGCTCTTAGCGATGAACGATACTTCTCTTTTATCAGCTGCGCCCTATTTGCACCCTGAATTTGGCTTCAGATCCCACCACTGGATTTTAAAGTAGCGTTTTGTTCAGCCAGAAGACAACTGTCAATAACCAGCTCTCTTTCAACTCAGAAATCCAGAGAGCACAGTAAAGCCGACAAATCAAACAGATCAAACATCTTCAGCCTGACAGGCGTATTGCAATCCCTAACATCGGCGTACGTATTTCCCAACACCTTCTAAGGTGTTCAGCGGTCATTCTCATGCACATGGCAGATCTGGGTACGGGCCCATTTCTCTCAGTTGTACCACACAGTGGCAACACCACCTGACTGAGCACCCTAGTTAAGCTGCTGAGATGGGTCATGTCCCTCCCAACCTACCTCTGCAGGAAGGGAAAGAGATGGGTTAAGATCAAGAATGGTCTGATTTTCAAAAGTCCCATTTCAAAGCAGGGCAGTTTAGACACAGAACTGCATCCGCAAGAAGAGCTTGGGAAGACAGAAGAAAGAAACATGGTACTGAGAATGGCTGTTTTCTTGTGTGAGGCAGCAGCTCCCTACCTCTGCGTTCCGGGTATCCCGAATCTCCAGAGCAACACAGACAAGGGGAGCATTCTGCTCCGCTACTGGTGCAGGTATAAGAGGGTGGGGGGGAGAAATCATCTTCAAGCACTCACAAAGGAAGCCAAAACAAACTGTAAAAGTTCTGAAGCAGCTCAAATTGACGCAGTGTCAACTGCTCAGCACGTCTGAGGGCACAGATTACTTACTTTTGCTACTGCTCTGTCAGAAAGGTATCCAGCAGCAATGCTTCCCACCAGACCCCCAATCTCCAAGGCACTCATGTAGGAACTACCTAGAATGGAGGTGAAGCAAAGCGCAGGCCATCAGGTTCAGTCACGACAGCAAAGCTGATGCGTGCTTTAGACCAAGCTCAGCTGCTGTCAGCTCACAGTAAGCTCAGAGCAGCTCTGCTGGACAAGACCCTCCAGCTCATCCTTGTACAGGAACGCCTGTCTGCCAGTCCTAGGAGGACCCTGGCATGGAGGCACTTGGTGCACGCGGTAACTTCATTACCGAGTTATTTCAGTGCCTACACGCATCTAGGTAGACAGTTAGGAGGCAGGCAAACAAGTCCCTCAGATGGAGGTGCCTGTGTCCTTTTGCTGTACCCAGTCGAGCTCTGGGCAATACCTCCCAGACAGCAGCTGCAAGGCTTAATAATGCAGCTTTGCATCTTACCCACGAGCATGGATTGTCCCCTCTCCTGGATCAGGAAGAGCTGTCCCCAGTCAGTACAGCACGTTTTCACGCCAAAAACGACCAGGTAGCCTGTTGAGAGCACCCAGAGGTACGGCGAGAGCAGTAGCTCTGTCAAAGTGCTGTTGTCGCTGGAGGAACCTGGAAGGAAGATCAGGAGGAGCGTTACTACTGCTTGAGCACAGCTACTGAGCCACACCGACTCATCGGCACTACAGACAGATCTGCAAGCAGGATTCACGCAAAAGGACATCCTTACAGAGGGAGATATTCATGGCTATGGGTAGTGAATTGCTTTACCTCCCCCTTGTTCTGGGTTTGCTGTGATTTCAGAATCTTTTCTGTCAATTGATTCCATGTTCATTAAAGATTTCAAAAGAATAATCAAAACCACTACTTCCAGTAATTTTCTGTATTCTGGTCACCAATAAACCCTTCACAAAGGTTGTTAGAAAAATTATCTGCTTCTCCAGACACTGTGCTAACGTTTCTAAGCTGTGCCTGTGAAAGCCACTACACAGACCCAAGTAAAGATGCTGACTTTCAGCTGCTACCTTGATCTTTGCATCAGTCTTCCAGGAACACCTACTAACCTACCCTCTCCCCAGGAACGCTCTGGGAAAGCAATATTGTTTTCTTACACGAAGAGGTCAAGTCTAGCAGCACAGGCATCGCAGGACAGTGTGGAAGATAGGCTGAGTTTCCACTGGCCTTTAAAATCCTACAGCAAACCCGTGTTGCAATTCCCCTCTACCTGTTCTGCTTTCAGAGAAGCACCATACTCAGTGGTCTGAACAAACATTTACTAACTAGATGTCCTAGGTTAGGACAGAAAACACTGAGCAGAGTCCACCGCCAGCCAGGGGTCAAGAGGACCCACAGCGGGGTGGGGGGAGAACTGCCTGTCCTCTACCAACACGGAGGACAGGGAGGTCAGGCTTAAGGAAGCATTCTCTGCTGTTGCGTTTCTTCTCTCTCTAGTACCCCCACAGAAACTTGGCTCACAATCAGAGCAAATGAAGTCCCAAGAAAACCGGGGCACTGTTGGTAGGAAGATGTTATGCAGACAAGGAGATGAAAGAGCTAGCCACGAGCGT